CACACGCACGCCCGCACGTGTACGTGCACACGCACGCCCGCACGTGTACGTGCACACGCACGCACACACACACACACACACACACATGTACGTGCCTACGCACGCACGTGTACGTGTCTATGCACGGACGCACGTGTACGTGCACACGCACGCACGCACACACGTGTACGTGCCCACGCACACACGCCCGCACGTGTACGTGCACACACACACGTGTACGTGTCTATGCACGGACGCACGTGTACGTGCACACGCACTCACGCACACACGTGTACGTGCCCACGCACACACGCCCGCACGTGTACGTGCACACACACACGTGTACGTGCCTATGCGCGCACGCACGTGTACGTGCACACGCACGCACGCAACCACGTGTAGGTGCACACGCACGCACGCACGTGTACGTGCACACGCACGCACACACGTGTACGTGCCCACGCATGCACGTGTACGTGCACACGCACGCAGTTGTACCTGCACACGCACGCACGCACGTGTACGTGCACACGCGTGTACGTGCGCACGCACCCACGTGTACGTGCACACGTACGCAAGCGTACGTGTACGTGCAGATCAGCTTTCCTCCCAGAGGTCTTTGCACCTCTACTTTGCAACTCTGATTTCAATTCATTTACGGTTTTTCCTTCGTAACTAGACGCCATTGTTTAGCAGTGATACCGGACAGTGCACGCACGCCATCTATCCAGCGATTAGTAAATGGCGAACCCCATTAGAAATGCACATGCTATTGGAAAAACGCCAGGTCCTACACCGATTACGTCAAGCTGTGCCAGCTTGACAAGGCCAAGGGGTTAGATGTCGGCAGCACTTACCTCACTGACAAGGCCTGCCAGAGGTTCATTACGACGATAGCCGATACAAGGCGCCGGGAACAGTTTGTAGCTATAAATGAGGCCAAATTCCTTGCTGTGATAAGTGACGGATCCACAGATTCCTCATCAAAGGAGGCCGAAATTTTATTTTCAAATTTAAATTTTATTTAATTTAAATTTTAATCTTACGATCCATATCAAAGTTAAATGTATTTTATACAATTGAATGTCTTTTACAAAACCTTTCTGGGGGACACCCCTTGTACCCTGGGAGAGACCCCACTGTACCCCCTAGCAGAAGGGGGGCTCCACCCTCCTACCCCACCTACCTCCTGGCAAATCACAATTCTTGTCGCTCTGCGCCTAGTAAGAGTCCTTCGGCAGGACTAGTAGAATCTTGGAAGGACTAGTACATTTTTTCTTTTACTAGTCCTGTGGACTAATGAACTAAAATGGTTAGTGTCTAACCCTGCATATTATGTAAATCTCAAGATCTCATATCAATAAAATAAAATCATTCAAACTTCTCATTATTTGTAAAATGTGCCTGAGGAAAATTAGTACGATGCTGCAGGGTTTCTTATACATAAGAGGCACAGTGGCGCACCGCCGTTGTCAAATTTAACATCGCCGTTGTGAAACCCTTCCTGTATTTACCTGCCGTTGTCAAAATAGTGTCAACCCAAAAATACATAGATCACCACGTGCTTCTGGCATATTTAGATTGCCATGTGTATTTATTGAGTCATGTGACACTCGGTCATGCGTGCCTACGGCATGCCTTTGAATTCATCATGCGCGTTTTTTCCCCAAACTGGCCATTATCTCCTTTGTCTAATTTTCCCTCAGAAGAAACCCTGGGCTGTATTTAAATGTTGTACATTCAGACTGTATGAATATTGTACTTCAGATTTATTATATAAATTTTTTTTAATTTAGGCAAGATAGATGGGAAGTTATTGAGCTTAATCATGAGTGTCCAAGTAAATTTGACCTTTTTTGTTTTCATTCATCACAGTGCAGGAGGCAAATATAAATAGCGCACAGACTACCGGGTTGTGCAGCACAACCAGTAACAGAAACTGTCACCGACTTGCATCATGGCAGAGGAGGACCTTGCCGGAAACCTGGCCAACTATCAGGTGCAGCTCGCGCAAGTCGAGGCGGCTCTGATGAACGACGCCGACAACGAGGACCTCTTGAAATTGCAGAAAGACTTGCAGGAGGTCATCGACCTCACGAGCGACCTTGTGACGAACAAGGTGGACGCGGTGGCGCCGAGCGTGGCGGAGGAGACGCCGGAGCTGTCGTCGACGGCAACGACGACGAACGTCAGCGTGCCCGCCGTGTACGTCGCCGCCGACGCCCCGAGTTGGCGGCCGGGGGACCAGTGCATCGCGCAGTGGTCGCATGATGGCGGTTGGTACGAGGCCGAGGTTGACGAGATCACCGAGTCCGGCGACTGCACCGTCACGTTCGCCGAGTACGGAAACACGGACCTGACGAAGGTCACGTTGTTACGGCCGTCGGAGGCCGCGCACGGCCAGAAGAATGCGGATGGTCGACCCAAGTCGAAAAAGGACATCATCGCCGACCAGAAGGAGTACAAACGCAAGAAGGCGCAGAAGAAGGCAGCGCGGATGAAGGAGATGGAGGAGGAGAGGGAGAAGGAGAAGGGCAAGTGGCAAGACTTCAATAGCAAAACGTTTGGAAAAGGTCATAAGAAAGGCATGGTCAAAAAGAGCATATTTGCGACTCCGGACAGTGTCACAGGGCGAGTAGGGGTGGGAACGTGTGGCGTTGGAGGTAAGCCCATGACGAAATACACCCAGTTAGAAAAGTGGAAGAAATAGTATCTCCTAAAACAGGAATAGGCACCAATAGCAGCTTCACATGTTGACCTTTCTTAAACATTTTCTGGCACTCAAGGAAGGTGCAAAATTTAATGGCGTGAAAATTTTGCCAGGAGAAACTGTAAGCCAATTCTTTCACACACCACATCTGAAAACTTACTGCCATAAACACTGCATAAAAGAAATAGTTTGGTTTGTGGTTGCTAGTGATAAATATGTCAAAGTCAAGTTTGGAAATTTGCTTTTACATCACATCTGTAATTATAGTTAAGGTAATGTAACAAAGATACACCATTATAAATGGGAAGTAAGTTGATAGATGTATTTCCATTATCTGAAACTGTTCATTAACCTTTACACTCTGTACAATATGCACATGCCTGCCATACAAGAACATTTATAATATAAGGTAATATGATGTAAATGTTGTTCATGGATATTAGTAAAATGTCCAATTTGAAATCAACTCGCTTTTACCAAACCAAGTGCCATACATTGGCACCTGATAAGGTACTTCACCGGTCTCAACTAGAACAAATATTTTAGTAATACAGTTTTCAATTTGACTTGTTTGTCACGGATACATTCCAAAGGAAAAGTTAATTGAGCTTTCCATGTTAAATAAATGGCCCGTTTCTCGTCAGAAATGGTGAAGTGCATAATTGTGTGAACTATTCTGTAACTTGTGTATATAGCAGTGCTTTAGAACAAAAATAAATGTATTAAATGAATAGACCTTTCAATACTATTGTTATGTATTTGTTATTTATAACTCGAGGTACAAGCTCGATACAGAAGAGTACGATATGTCAGTAAGCAGGAAATGTTCTATTCTCTATCTAAAAATTCTCTATCTCCATATATATATATTTCTTGAAAGACCAAAAAAGGGTGCTTTAAAATCTTTTTTTACATGATATTTTGTCAAAATGTAACAGTAGATGCCTGTATGTAACAGTAGATAGTCTGTAAGTCTACTCTGACAAACAAAAATGTCATTGGTGTCCACAGTTCAAGGCGATACCAACAATCCAAGATGGAGGAATGGAAGTGGTCGGAACTAATCTAATCAATTTAAACACGAAGCACATGCCGGTCATCATGATATCGTTTATACTGGCAATAACATCTGTACATAAACAATTACTATGATGAGATGAGTGGCAGCTTGTATTATTCATGACCTTATATTCAATATTTATGTAACCGTATCCACAAATTGATTAGATGGCATCACAGCACCGTCACAAAACTAGCGATGAAAATTAACAAAAACAAAATGTCACCACACTGTGCAGTCACCAGGGTCAACACTTGTCACTGAAATTATCAGACAATTTATAATATTACATACATATAGTATTTTTCTCGCATGTCATCCCTTAATAAAATTAATCCTCATCTTCATACTATACTGTCAGTCACGAAAATCCATACATTTCTAAATGTACATATATTAGCTTGTCCAATATGAAGCAAAGCATGAGTTAGGGGGTTTTCTAATCAAATCTATAAGAATGTATGAACAAGTATGAATGTATCTAACAACGTACGAACAGGGATTTGTAACATTGTGCAATCACACGTTTCAATATGTCACCTAGAATTAAAATTCCAACTGTGCGTTAAGGTATTTATTCAACTAACACATGTAACACTCATGTATACTAACTCTCCTTATCAGCTTAACAAACGAGTCAACTGCACTGACGAATACACCTGCAAGCCTCCTGCCCTCAATAATATGTAGAGACTGAAAATGTTGCAACCCATGCACACGTGGTGTGGCATGCAGGAAGATGCACACGCCTATGCCTCGCCGTGACGCATCTATTACAAGCCTGAAGTTTTACTCACAATTAGTAACAGTAAGATAACCGACTACTGTATGCACCCCAACTACTAGAAACCTAGAGAATTGTTTTATGGCAGACTACCAAACAGCAGCTGGAGAAGGCACATAATGGCTCTGGAGGGGCTACCAATGCAGACACGACTCACGCAGGGTTCGTAACGTTACCAAACTCTGACACCTAAAATTCGTACACCTTAACATATTTTTCAATTGCTTGAAATACCCATTTCTCACAGAATCGAGATTTTAGCCATATACAATCCTTGTACACCCCATCACATAATTAACATGCAATAACTTCCATGAAGTAAATGTTATGGTTTTTCAGACATGCTACGCATGTGTCCAATCTCTCCACCCTCCCTCCCCTTCTCCTACTCTCTTAAACCTTCAGGTGATATATTCCACCATTTCTATTAAAAAGACTACACCATGATGACGTGGACAGTAACAACTAAAAAAGAATATGGCAGAGCCTTGCCTCACAGCATTCCATACAGCAACAACCTTGTATGAAAAAACTTTATACAAACAATTTCAAAATAAAAACAAGAACCAGCATGAGGACACCAAACTTATGCTAATACCTATTGTCTATAATCGTATTATAGAATCTACCTTTATCTTAATGCTTCTGTCTCAAAATATTGATCTGTTATTATTATTCTGTTATCATATACTGGCTGCATTGTATTTTGTTGGGATAAGCATGCTAATTTCTCAGTACTGCTGGTCAACATGGAGTGGCATGCAGTATGAGTTCTGGCATAGTTGCAAGTACCAGCACAATGACCATCATCTATAGTACTCAAATTACCGACAGGTAAGATATTAAGAAAAAATAAATAGAAATTGGTGACTTTCACCGCAACGACAATATCAAATGGTCACAGTGCCCAATCTTGAAATTCATTAAACAGGGCGAAAAGAGCCGACTGGAAGGTCCCATTTTATGTCACACACTGCTTCACCATTGCACCATTCAGGGGTTTTGATGCGTAGTTGTCTATGAAGGGTGTTTGGCTATTGTGGATGATACTGCACGCTTAGAGTTCATCTCTGAGAATTGTGTAGCGGGTCCTAGAAGGCTGTAGCTTTTTGAACGTGGATTCAGGCGGATCAGTCTGTGATGGTGGTTGCTGATGAAGCTTCAACTGTAACGAGAAGAGTAGAGCATGCTCACACTACGATTCTTACAGAGGCACTTCCTCAACAGTCATGGTGGACAGTAAAGGTAGACAGGAGAAACTCAGAACAATACGGCACATCATATATATATATATATATATATATGGGCTAAATAGTGCAGGATTCTCCATATTCCACTCTCTCCCTTCTACCCAGCTTCTAAAGTTAGTGCATGCATCATTTACTCTTAAAACAACGTGTAGGTTAATTTTTTTAAACTTCATTACCCCATATATCAAAGAAGTGCCAATATATTGAATTCTAACCAAACACTAAATAGTCAAAATAGAAGCACTATGTCACCATGTAGCAAATTGTATAAGAAATAGGTAATCCAAAAGTAGCCTCACTGCGACACAGTACGCCTCATTACAAAAATGAGCACAAATTTAAGGAGTTGAATAGTTAAATGACTTTCCAAACTTTTAAATTACATGTAATAATATACCCAATACACGTTTAACTTCACGAAAACAAAAATTCACATTAAACACAATTAAGCAGTAATTAAGGATGCAATTCAGCCACAAAACAGTGAAAACGTCTACAAACAAATATCTAGAAACAATGCCATATCACAGTAACACATTGTTCAGTAATAGTTATAATATAGCAAGTTCATACCATCAACGAAAAATGCAAAGGCAGGTAGGAAATGTTCTACTACAGCACAGATGATCTCAAGGCATGTGTTGCAGGATCACATCACAATCATTATAGACCTTTTCACTCTGACAACTGTCTAAAGTTATCCTTTTTTCTAGTTAGTATCGAGTGGCCAAGCAGGCCTACAAAATCCTGATTGATTCTAAAGGAGACTTTGAAACATTTGCCACAAACAATGTAAAGATGTATTCGTGCAAAATAAAGTCAGACTGAATTATGTAGTAGGGTGTCACTGCCGTCCATGAGTCTGTTGAAAAGGTCTATAGATGAAAAAACACCAATATGATTTACATACAAATTATTGACTATACAATGCTCAGATCACAGTTCGTCGCGCAGTAGTGTGTATCTGTTTCTAGAAGGCGCCAGTTTCCTGAAGGTTGATTCAGGTGGATCCGTACGATCTGCAGCTGTGGGGGCAGTCTGTAAGACGCAGCAGAAAAGCATGCAACCAACACCCACACCAACATGCTGGAAACGCTATGGCCTGTACACACTTCTCAGACACACACGCAAAGATGCAAGCCAAGACATGCACACACAGACACACACACGCGCACGCAAGCACGCTCGCACACACACGCAGCGACATACTCACGCGCACACACACAGACACAAACGCACGCACACATGCATGCGCATGCGCGCACGCACGCACACACACACACACACACACTGGCGTACTCACACACACAGAGATGAACGCACGCACACATGCACACACACACCTACACCTTCATGAACAGAATGGCCACAAGTAATTGTTAATGTAGAATGATGTGAAGACATGTGCATTAATTCAATCAAATGTGAATTTTGATATTTGACATTTAAAAGTAGATATTTAACCTGAATTTTGCCCATCACATTGCATGCATTAGGTTAGTTTGTTTAGTCAGTTATTAACAAGAAGTAAAGATGGCACCGAGAAACCAATCATGCTAACATATTTAGATAGCAGTTCCATATTAATTTGTAAGTATCTCTTACCTATATTTTAGTACATGGACTAGTATTACATTACAGTGTTGACAACCAGAAGTACATGAGAATTTCATGTTATAGTATAAGGCGCAACACACTTGTAACCCAGCCTATGATTAGCATTCATGAAACAGAATAGCATGCGCATACCTTATCATGAGATGCTTGCTTCTCTGGTCCGTGATGAAACTCTCTATGTAGCTTCCCAGAATGGAGATCTGCTACATATTGCTTTAACTTACCTGGTGCGCTGTAACATCAAACACGGACTGTAAGATCAACCATACAATGTTAAACAACACTGTGCAGTATAAAACACAAACTATGCGATATCAAGCATATGACCTGCAATATAATCCATCCACTCTGCAACATGCAGCACCAACACTGCAACATCAACCACACACTGCCATACACACACTGCAATGCACATGAAATTCGGCAACATAAAAATTCCAATTCTGTCACATTAAACAAAAATTCTGTGATGCTACCTATGAATTCTGCGACGTCAAATGCATAGTGTCATCAGTGCGCGAAATTAGCGTCATTTTGCCCGCGGCCGCCGGTTCAACCCCTTAAACCGCCGGTTCAACCCCCCATATAATCAGTCCACTTGGCCTATTCAAAATTTTGCCTATCTTGCCTTTATATCAACAATATTTACCAATTTCCTGACTATTTTTTATTTAGTGACTACTAAAAAGTAAATCATGTTCCAGCAATTCCTGCCAAACAGGTAGAACTCCACTGATAGCAATGAAACACTGAAATATTACGAGTATGTCTAATAAACACAAAGCTAACACTTTTATTATTAATGGAATAAATTGAACAAAATTAAGGGCCTGTTCAATTTGTCTAAGGGCCTGTTTATAATTGTGGGTGGGCCTGTTCACATTTTGGCCAATTTCATGCCCTGTGTCAAACTGTTAACAAATTGTTCAGGACAATCTTAATGTGCCAGTCATCTGTAAGCACTCACGTCATATCCTTGATATCAGGGAACATATACATGTGTCTGAAGCTGTCTATGGCTATCAGAGGTAAATCTTTAGATGCTTTTCCAAGATGGTGGAGCGGATGAGAGAACTTGAGTCCATCTGCTGTTACAAAATTGATGCTATCTGCAAAAAAACAAGAATAACATGGTGAACACTACACTAAAACACTTCCATGTACATTAACCAAGCTCTACTTGCAATAGCCACATGTTTCATTTTTGTTTAGCAAGGGTACAGGACACATCTGCGATTCAACAACATATTTATAATTAAGTGTGAATAAAAACAACAACAACAAATGACTGCACTATAGTTAGGTGGAAACACTTTACAAGCCAAATAAAAAAAAAATAATTAAAATTATGACACAGTGGCTAAGGACAGTGATATGGGGAGAAGGCTGCTGGATAATGTGTTGTTTAGCTCCAACAGGTTGGCTTACTCTTTTCCATGAGCAGTTCGCTAGACACAATTTTCGTGTATTCTTCCACTATTTTTGTGTCGCTAGGATCGTGGAACAGGATAAGGAATGGCAGGCCTTCCTCTGTCAATTCCTGTAAAGTTCAGATCGTAATATTATAGCTGGTTTCAATTGTATGCACATACAAATTTATTAAAATGCTACTCACCGCACCTCAGACATATACATAGATTGCACCATAGCAATTATTATATCGGCTTATGATGATCAATTTAATACAAAACAAGATCACCTCGTGGTATAAAAATTGAAATGGTTCACCTTCAAAACTATAGTTAATTTAAACGTTTATATACTTTAGTTAATTAAAATGTTCATATACTTAGTACATTATGTGGTTAAAATTTATCATATGATTTCACTAGAAGATTACTGTAGCAATATTATAAGCATAAAAATCAATATGCTCTTATAATATTGATCAGTGTTACAACCATACCTCAGCATTTTCAAAACTAATTTCGCGGACAAGAGGATTACACTTGTCAGCGGTCCATGCGTAGAGTAAGTCAAAGTTTGTCAGCGGGCCAATGTACACCATGTCCGGTTTATTCTGCAAACACAAAACACACACCATATACTCCTATGTAGGTTGAAATTATCAGGTTGTTTTTATGTCCACATTTTAAATCATTCACGTTTACACTAATAAAAACTTGAATAATACATGATCAATTTGGCACCAGATTCCCATGCAGATCAGTGAACAGCAGTAAATGGGCGCTTCTGGTTTTCCATTCGTTTGTTTTAGCAAGAAAGTGCTCAGTTAAAAAAAAAATCTGAAGATCATGTCAGATTTAGTTCACAATCATCAAAACACTTGTCATTTCAATTTGCTAGGCTACAACTTCTGAAAAATGATTAACGATGTTAACACAGAGTTTAAAAGAGTTTCATGTACACTTTTACATGAAGTAGGTTCATATACATGTATATGTAGTACAATGATAAAAAAAATATGCAAACCATCTGTGAAAATACAGTAAAAACTATTGACATCTCTACTGTGTGCAATGGGAATCACATTCTTCCGATACCTTGTCACGAATATACATGCGAAAGCCGCTGAGACAGCTTATGTATCTATATAATAAATCCTACAATAAATCCTTACGTGAGGGGGTCTAAAAATAATGTTGTCTCCTCCTGTCCTTTCCTTCCTTGTCACCTCACTATGAAAAAGATAATTACTGTAGTGAGACATGCCTCTTACAATTATTTGTCGCGCTTTCGCTGGTCACCTTGTCCCCATAAAACAAGAACAATCTGGTCATCTTACTATAATTTGGCAAATGTTGTATGTATGTTAATGAAAGGCTCCGTCAGTTTTGATCCAAATAGCGCCAAATTAAACTAAAAAATAAAACCTTAGACTATCACTACAAGAGCCGCAGAGCGTCTGGGCTCATCTGAGGTCTGTTGCTACGGTTATAAACGTAACATTTAAGTCGTGCGTAGTGACACCTTTGTTAGACGCAGATATGCAGATACGCAGTTGCGTACACATCATTTCAGCAACCTTCTGCATTCTGCATACCTCCAAAATCCCATTGGTTGATACAAATCGCGTGCCTGAAACTCCTGTTTTATGGTGCATTGTGACCCTAACCCTAACCCTATTAAAAAACAAAAAAAAGTTAATTGTTGTAAAAATTATGTGTTGTTATTAAATTGTTGTAAATAAATCATGTAAAAATTTGCATTAATTGGGAAAAAATAGTTAAATGGATAAAGATAGAAAAATACAGAAAACAGGTAAATAATAAAAAATCTGATGGGATTCGATCCAACGACCTTTGAGCCGTTACGCCTGTGCTGTAGGCGTACGGCTATCCAGGCTTATTGGCTTTCTAGATTATGGATGTGCCATGAATGAGAACACTGTGACATCATTGAGGCAGTTCAGGAATCCATGTTTAACCCACCTCTTGAAGGTCAAAAGGTTATCAGACACTTACTCTTCGCCTGTCAGTCTGTCAGTGGAAAGCACATTTCATGGTCCTTTCAATAAAGTTATAAAAATGGTAGGTCAGCGCTGAAACACTTTGTCCATTAGGCCATGTCCTTAGAAAATGTCTGATATCTGACCTTTCCCCCACTGCCCTTTGACCTGTAACCTCCAATTTCGCACTGGTGATGGGTTTCCTGCCCATCACACTATACACCGAATATTAAGAGCATAGGTCGAGCCGTTCAGATTTGTGCTGCAATTCCGTATTTCCTCATATACCTTAAGTTAAGGGGGAAATATTCCCCCTCCGTTTACACATCTTGAGCTTTGACCCTTGACTCCCAAATTTGTCATCCCGAGTCCTTTTCACGATCCCCCCAATGTCCCAAATATCGTGACCGTACATCGAGCGGTTAAGATTTGTGCCCAACTGTTGACGGACGACCAGACGACCGGACGACCGGACGACCGGACGGACGGACGGACGATTAAGCGATTCTACAAGCTGCATCTGACTATGTCAGATGAGCTAAAAATGGTAGGTCAGCGCTGAAAAAAAAGGTTTTTCACTTTGTCCATTAGGCCATGTCCTTAGAAAATGTCTGATATCTGACCTTTCCCCCACTGCCCTTTGACCTGTAACCTCCAATTTCGCACTGGTGATGGGTTTCCTGCCCATCACACTATACACCGAATATTAAGAGCATAGGTCGAGCCGTTAAGATATGTGCCACAATTCCGTATTTCCTCATATACCTTAAGTTAAGGGGGAAATATTCCCCCTCCGTTTACACATCTTGAGCTTTGACCCTTGACTCCCAAATTTGTCATCCCGAGTCCTTTTCACGATCCCCCCAACGTCCCAAATATCGTGACCGTACATCGAGCGGTTAAGATTTGTGCCCAACTGTTGACGGACGCACGGACGGACAACCATGCGATGCTACAAGCTGCATCTGACTACGTCAGATGAGCTAATAATGGGTGAACCGATAGGAATAGCAAAAAGGCTATTGAAAGCTGATAAACCCCTAATAAAAACAATCCTAACTACAGATTATTTTGTTATATGCTGGTCCTACTATTTAAGGCCTTCACATAATAAAGTCAGAAAGTGAAACTAGAAACTGGCTACAACAATGTCAATACAAAAATTTGACATCTCCATCAAATATTCCAACACTATGCCACAGCAAATGTTACACAGCGCGCATATCCAAACCACATACGTAGTGAGATAATATCTTACCCGAAGCCGGCGTGGAAGGTACAATCATCTCTCAAGATAGATGCCACTCTTGCAAACACCGCATATGTGTTCGATTCCTTCACATTAAAGAAACCTACTATGTTCCTTTTCTTAATCTGCAGGACAAAAAAACAAGACACTTCAGTTCAGAATGCTGCTTACAGATGTGATTGTGCACTCCTGTCATGCCGAGCAAGTACACACGAAACACATGTTACAAACGTTATACATCAACGGAAACACCTAGACAAATTATTATATTTTTAAACATGGCAACAAGAGACGAGTTAACACGAATCCCAAGCGGAGGTCAGATACTCCAAACTGCATCCACAAAGCACCTGCTATAATACTAGCAGTACATACACTCAGGTCGTCAAGATCATCCACATCCTTGAATTCCACAACTTGATCTGCCACCTGATCCTTAATGTGATTAGCCAACGCATCAACAGAGCGTTGTCCACGATACTCCCGCTTTGCCATGTTGCCATTTCGAAAAAGCTTCAGCGTTGGGTACTTGGAAATGTGGTGCCGTGTGCACACTTGTACTGTGAGCAAAAACGGAAGACACTGTAGGAGCTGAGGTGAAGCTTGAACGATATTTGTATTGGTACTTACTATAAGTTGTTTTATGCACAGGTTCATTGTGTTCGCGTGAATTTATAACAAAAAAATGAATGTTTCTGGTAATTTTACAATGACAACGTAGCTAGAACTTCAGAATGGAAAAACTAACAAGTCGTGTATTTTGTGTTTCTATCTCTTGGTCACACTTCACAACATGCACATGTAAAGATTTGACATTTCATTCTGTTTCATTCTATGCCAACGAAATTAAGTTTAACTACAGAACCAATTGTTGCACATTCGACATGACTTGCTGGTCTTACTGTTAGATTGATACAGTTTATGAGATTGCACTTTTGTGTATGCCAATTATCTGAAAAACTCGTGTTATTATAACAGCTAAATGTACTTGGTTGATGAATTTCTTGAAATAGCTAATAAGAACATGGAAACATAATTCATGTATCAGATAACAGGTTTGAAATGGGCTCATTTTCTTGACATTTAACTGTCAGTTTCTTACTTTAGTCTGTTCCTGCTAGTATGAAGGACTTTCAACTAGCCTTGCAAAAGCATTAATAAATCATGTTTTAAGCCACTAAATATGAAACCATTTTGATTTAATTTAAGTATTTCTTGCTATATATATATAGCTTACCTTGTTCATCACAGTTGACTTTCCCAAATATTACTTTCTTGCTATATATATATAGCTTACCTTGTTCATCACAGTTGACTTTCCCAAATATTACTTTTCCCTCAGCATCCTGAAATAACATTAATTCGATGTAAATAGCAGTGTTTGAAATAAGGAAAACATTTTGCTTGTCCGACGGACAAGCTAAAAGATATTTTTGCTTGTCCTGATTAATAACATAGAAATATAGTAAATGTGTAATACATTTAATCAAATTAAATTTTAGTCCCAATATCTTACTTTATAATTTTAATACAGTCCACTAACAGTTCAAAGTAGGCACTAAACTTGAAAGAACATAAAGAAGCACAATTATTTATTTTAAGTTATTACTTGTCTTAACAAATTGAAGCGATGGTAGAAAATGATGAAAATTGGCTCTAAAAAGCTGCTGGATAGGTCTACTTGTCATCCGTGGAAATGGACAAGTGAGGACAAACGGATAGACCTTATTTCGAACAGAGAATAGACATGCCTTACAAATAACAATATACCTATATTATTAATAAATTTCAGTACATTGAGCTCACATATAAATATCAAACCACACACCATTGCTAGTCAAATTAGATTGAAAGTTATACAAACCACTGTGTTAAATCTATAAAAGAATATGCTAATATTGCCCAGGAAACATAATTCTTATTAACTGGGTACTTGCTATCCACATTAAACTTACAGGAACATCTGTACGTAATTTCTTGTCTGCTTCTTCAAATATAGGATTTAATATTTGACTAAATCGGCACCAATCAGCGTAGAAGTTGATAAATACTATTTCTGTATTTTCTGAAAATAGGCAAAATCAGTATAATATCAAGAACCATATGCATACGACAAATATCAGCCATGCTCTGCCACCGTATATGGGGAGGACAAATATGGCAATAAAAAAGTTAATATTACCACCACCACCACCACCTAATGTGCATTGTGATGAAAGAGCAAGGACAGGCTAGTTACAATTACTGGTGATCAGGAAACTACCTTCGACCTTCAGGCCTACTTCATCATGTGAGAAACGCCATGATCAACCTGATCTAAGGCAGTCGGTATGTTGTATTCACACTATTACTATTATCATGAACACAACTATTCTAGTACTAGTACATACTAGTATATATAGTACATGTTCATGCTACTATAAATGTCTGATTGAACTGCTTTTCTGCATGGAAACATAAAGTTACCAAGTAATATATTTAGTGCCATGGTACACAAGATCATACTCACTAACTACTTGGTCAAAGTTGTTCACTGTGAGTGACACTGGCTGACTTGTTGCCGGAATGTAGAGGACAGATAGCTAAAAATGCAAATGATCAATTAGTCTCATGAAAAACACAGTGCCTAGCATTTACCAGACTTCTAATCTTATACACAAGATGGTCTAAAATGACATAACACAATATGGTACAGTGGAACCCCGATTTTACGCGCCCCGATTTAACGCGAATTCGGATATAATGCGATGAGTTGTTGGACCACCTTTTTTGCTCTTAATCTTATATAGCCACGGCCCACGTATATATAACACCGATTTAGTGCGACCCCGCTTTTTTCGCGATGACATTTTATGGACCCCAACCATTGCGTTACAATGGGGCTGCACTGTATTTAATTTTTTAAACTACTGAGCAGCACTTAAGATGTCTCAGTTTGTTATATACATAAAAAATATAACTAAATGCCAGATATCTCTATTGACCCTAATAACCAGTTAGTATTATTTAGTACAATAATTCCCGACCTCTTCTCGACCCACACCAGGGTGAGCGAGATTGGGGGAACCCTGTGTGAATTACAATCAATGCCTCTAAGTACTTTGCTAGAGTTTCATGACATCAATGCATGTAGGAGGGTACCCAGCATAAATAATAGCATAACCACATCTACAGTTACAATTTTAATCACTGCATATGACTGAATCTTCTCAAATGATCAACTGGAATGCATTGAGGTTTACGACTGCTTCTATTATGTGTACAGCATTCGTGGTAGTGGGAAGGTGAGAAATGTTCAATGATATATACGTGTATATATATACAATGATATATGCGTGTCACACAACAAAAGTCATTTAACTTTAAGGTGTTTTAATCTTGGTAAACTAACTTTTAATTATGAGAATTTAGTTGGGAAATTAAGACTGTGAAACTGCAGCCTTTTCACCTAACAGAAATATGGCTTTTAACAGCTACCCTATATGTGTGATTTATTGAAATGAAAGAAATCATATTTTATGATATGCATTTTAGCAGATTGGAGAATTAAAAGATCAGCAGACTACTCTCTTTGCAAACACGTAGAAAATACATTTTGTGTCTTTAAAATATGTTACAGAAACAATAGGTACAATAAAAAATATGCAGTGGATATTTAACCGTATACGGCAAAGTATCCACTTCCGCTATTTTACAGAACAGTACTTCTGATTGGCTAGTATAGATCTATGTAAGTGTATATATGTATGTTAGTATATTATTAATGTGTTCAAAAGGTTTCGTATTGGAAACGTGATTCACGAAAAATAGCTTCTATGATCAAACGGGGCTACAAATGTGTAGAAATAAATGGGATTTTAACCTATATGTTTTCTAGATAGCTAAACCTTATGGGATTCGAAGGTAATATTGATGACGTCATAAATATACTAGCCAATCAAATGTGGTGTACGGTAAAATAGCGGAAGTGGATACTCTGCCGTATACGTTTAAATATCCACTGCCTAAAAAATATAGTGTCTGTACTGACCATAGCCATAAAAAATGTTAAAACAGCCAAGTGCTACAATATCATTCAATAAGCGAACGAGCCAAAATGTTTATGAGACGATGATGGTTGATAGACTATTCGGGTTGGTTACTGTGGCAACAATAACATTGGCAACAAAACTATACCTATGACTATGTTAACAAAATTTGCCACCCATCAACCAGGGCCCTACAAAAAATGCCTGCGTACTTTATAATTTTTCCAGGGGATGGCCGACTATGACTAGATGACCATATGTGACCCGTCACATCGAATCGGGTCTTAAGTCGCATTGTTTACTTTTGAGCTAAACATGCTAGAAGTTGCATTGGTAATTTTTGGTCGAGTACAGGATTTTCACATTAATAGCTTCATAAATACCTTATCTATGTATTCCATGAGATGAAATAAATCAATTATTGCCGGAAAGTTGATTTAAATCACTTTTATGAGGAGTATTGTCTTTGGGAATTGCTAATTATCCGTGAAAACAATCAATTTTCACTCCAATTTAATGGCCGCTGGAGCTTGCTATACTATAAATAACACGTCAATCCCGGTACCAAAATGAGACAGGGGGAATCCTCTCTCCAACTAGGTTCATAAATACGTCATTTTAAGCCAATCAAAGGCGATTTTATTGGATTAGGTTAGGGCAATTTTCGTATACAACTCCACGGCCGATGAAAGCGCCATGCTGATTGGCCGAGAGTGGGTCACGTGTAATGGCGGCGCCCATGTTATCAAAACGTGGTTAGAAATTCTCCGTCGATTCAAAGCAATAAAACCCCGTTTTAAGCAAAGTATGCCATTAATATTGGCTGATAATGAACGGATATTGAATCATTAATATACGTAGACTTAATTGCTGTTGTTTACAAACCGATACATGCCGGAATAATGGCAACATCGGCAGCGAAAGCGCTAAAACGATCTGACCCGATGCAATTTGCATGGCAGAGATGCTAATGAACTGCTGGAATTTGCACTCGATTATTTTGATGATGAACGTGTGATTGTGTCTGATGTAGAAGATGAGAGTGATAACGAAGAGTCTGGGGTGTTTGATTTCTATAGTAACATTTGATATAGTTCCAAGAGTGTATGTGCAACATTTGGTGGCAATATCTTGAATATAAAGTATTGGTTGCTATGGAAACTTGGCCTTTGATTACAACTATTTTTAACCTCAATATTCTCAACTTCTTTTGTTTCTGAATTTCACGAATTTGTCATGAACAAATCTGGCAATTTCTCGGCAACCACTAAAGATAGAGAGTTGAGAGTGGTATCAAAATGAAGCTTATGACCCAAGGAATCTGAATATGCATAACTCCATATAACAAAATTTCGACTTAAGACCCGATTCCCTGTGATGGGTCACATATGGTTTTTTCATCATCAGTCATCACTTCGCTGTATTGTTTATTAATCCGCTTTGCTAAAATTCTTGTACTTACTAATAGTAATACTAATATTGAAAGCAATAAATAAAACCGTTATATCTTATATATTAGTGATGGGAATCGGCTGGA